GACCAGGATGGACAGGATTAGGAATGAGCACATCAGAGGGACAGCTCAGGTCGGCTGTTTTGGGGACAAGGTCAGAGAGGCCAGATTGAGATGGTTTGGACATGTGCAGAGGAGGGATAGTGGTTATATTGGTAGAAGGATGTTGGAGATGGAGCTGCCAGGCAAGAGGTCAAGAGGAAGGCCAAAGAGGAAATATATGGATGTGCTAAAAGAGGACATGAATTTAATTAGGGTAAGAGTAGAGGATGCTGAGGAGTTAGGTGGAAACAGATGATTCGCTGTGGGGACCCCTAACGGAACAGCCGAAAGAAGAAGAACTTTTGGCTTTTCCCGTTTTTTTTAGGGGTCGCCACAGCAAATCGTCACATTGACGACTCGCATGTTGACATTTGGCACATGTTTTACGCCGGATGCCCTTCCTGACGCAACCCTGACTCGAACCCGGGCAGCAGCGCCGAGAGCGCTGCGCCTTAACTACTAGCTTTCAGATGCTACCGTCCTCTCTCAGCAGAGGTATCACGGCACAACCTTTCCGTGCCCCACTTCACAACACGATAAATCACGTGACCATCCGAAATGAGGCCTCCACCCATACAAATCTTGCGCCACGGGTTTGACCAGCAGATGGCGCCATTTTTGTTTGTGTCAAATGCTTCGAAACGATGAACATTTCAACACAATGCTTCATATTGACTCGGTGCTTCGGAAAACCTCAGCTTATCCAACGCCTCCTGAAAGTATCCACCGTCTCTTTAAATTCGGGGTCCTGTTCCTGTTCAGGAGGAATTAAGGGCCTTTACAAGTCTGTTCAGGAACCTGCCGTGCTTCATGTTTGTGGTGAGTCTTGTTTCTTCTGTGGTGTCTTGTCTCTTTAAATGTTTGAAGGCTCAGCGCGGGGTCTTTCTTCCTCTGACGTCATGGTTTCATGACGGTGGAGAAGATGGCGGCGGTGTTGGAGCACAGCTTCATTGAGATCTGTGAATTTGAGAGGGAAACTTTGCACAGGTTTCGAGAAGTGACAGTAAATCTCGGTAAGCTTTCACAGAGCTTACATCTTTGTTCTCTGTCTTATTAGATTTAAAGACGCCTGTCTCAAGACCAGGGCTGGCTGTTAGGACCGGCTAACAACAGCTAGCGCCGCTAACACGCTGGTCATTAACGTTAGCGGCTTAAGTTAGTTTGAGTTAACGTGGCCTGATTTAATGTTAACGTGGCCTCTTTGTCTGTTAAGTACTTGATCAGTGCTCTGAAAACATGGTGATCGCTCACCTGAACACGTTAAATTCACTGCCGTTAGCAGGTCACACGGCACACTATTACCTGCCTTCTGTCTTTCTTGCTAGTTAATTAGCCCTTCTTCTGCAACTTTTAGCTCACCTGCCAAACAGTACACCATAATAACTTGCATTACACATCAGCAGCATAACACCATCTAACTGTTTAACTTCTTACTTCTATCCTCCATAACAAACGTTCTGTGTAAGTGGTTACACGCCAAACTCTTGTCGATTTACGTGGTCTGAATATCTCCAGTTTGATTCTCAGAGGGCAGTTACAGTGTTATAGCAGCCACTAAAAAAGAAAATAGAGAAGGGCACGAAGAAGATATCGAAAGAAAGCTAAATAATACAAAATAACAAATATAATAATTATGATGTTAAACTCTAATTTATAGCCTACTTTATATACACCCTACTATGATAGTGTTGGACTTAAAATATTGTCCAACAGTAATGCATATCAGTGGATTATAAGATGTATAGTAAAGTATTAAACAT